AGTTCCATATAATTAATACATGCTCACCAGCAACTGTGGGCATTTGTGCACATTTGTGCTGTAAAACCAAAGGAGGGTTAATGTTTCAGTTAATTCTTCTGATGTGAATTGTTTTCTTTAGTTTAATCTTGTAACTACGACACTATTTCACTGATCTGCAATTTTTATTCAGACCCAGGGCTTCATAAGTGGCTTGAACTGACCAGAAATTCTGACAACAATCATTTCTGAAAATTACCCAAGTCGAACCGACCTTTTCTTTCTCCAGCAGTGAGGGAATGAAACTGCGCTTGTGCTCTGGCCGCCGCGTCACTGGGTGAATCATCTTCTCCTGGGTGAAGAAATCGATCCAGGGCTCGTAGGGGTCAAAGGTTGTTTCGGGATAGCGGCCGTCCTGGATGCGCTGTATGAATGCCACGTCTTCGTCCGGCAAAACAATATCACGGCCGGTCATCTTGTCGTGCACTGTGCGCCTAAAGGGCCCAATGACACATTCTTTGTTCTTAACTTTTCAAAGACCTTTGAATCCCGGGTGAAGTAAGACTGGCCAGGCTTAAACAACCCGAATCCCACAAAATCCTAACAAATCCTCCCGCTGAATTCTAAAAGATTCTGGACAGTGAGGGTTGAGGGTTGCAAATGAGACAACCCAGTTCAACTAACCAATAGTCAGGATTGTCCATTTTCTCCAGGAATTCCTCCAGTTCGTCTCTCTTTGGAGGTCGTAGGATCATCTGTCCCCTGACATCGTAGCCGATGTGGGGGTAATCGTCATACCACTCCATGGGTATGTTGCCAACCGTATTTCTGATGTCCTAAGGAGAGCCGGAAACATACGAATTTCAGTGGTTTGGAAATAAATGATGAAAATTCCAGCGGGCGTGGAGAGGACAGAGCATTGCAGTCGATTCATAAAGTGGCAACATACTGGATTCTGGGTGCCAGACAATCATGGCCACCGAGGGGCAAATGTTCAGCGCCCAGATTTACTCTCACCTCTTCATCTGAAGAGTCAAATTCGTACTCGTCGACCTCTTTGCCTGTGGAAGTCCCAGCACCTGACTCTCCCGAGTTGTCGTCTGCTGGGGTCAACTGTGAGGGCGCTGTTTCGTTGTCCAGCTTGACTGAGGACTGGAGGTGGGACCTTCGCGGTCGGAGTTGCCAGGTCAGTCTGGCAAGCTTCCCTCTGCTCTTGGGTTTGGAGGTCTGTTTAGACGATAGACTCAAATTTAAAGCACTGCATTGTGAGAACTTTGTTCCGTGCTTGATTTGACCATGAACTTCATTCTACAAACCACTTCACTATTTATCCTTACAATGCCCAACTGTTCACTGGATTGACAGCAGTGAACAGTCAACCATTCCGTCCTTTTTCCTGTCCACTTCTTTCATTTTAGGGGGGGGTGAAATCAAAGTTCCTACTGCATGTTGTCTCCAGTTGAATTTTGAGCGATTCCAAGCCAGTTAGATGGAGTGTTAGATCCCTTAGACATGAAATATCAGTCGAAAATGCAAGAAAAGGGAATCATCTATCCACCATGTTGGACAAACTGACACCTTAAAACAGTCCCAAATCCTCCGATTCCAATATGATTTTACATACACTCTAGGAGGTTACGATTAAAATGAAATGAGAGGACAAGGCATCTTTCTTAACGTGGCCTACTTCAAAGGCACCCAAATAAACCCCCTTTAAATCAATCTATTCAAATTCTCTGCTGAAGAATCAGCCGCCATCTGCCACTGCAGTCCATCTAGATCAGATATTCTGCCGATGAAGACAGTGGATTGAGTGGCAAAAAGGTATCCTCAGAGAGCACGCCTACCTCTTGCTCCGCCACATCGTCCTCATCATCCCCGTCTGAGCGATCCTCCTCTCCGACATCGTCACCTCCATCACCTGCACTGTCACCATTCTCCTCCGAATCCTGACTCTCACCACTAGAGACGGCACCCTCCTCGCTGTCCGTCATCTCTTCCTCCAACTGCTCGTCATCGCTGTCATCTTCCAAGTCACTGTCATCGCCGTCGCTGTCGTCATCGTCTTCATCCATGGGTACATCGACAAACAAGTCTTCCTGAAATGAACCAAGAGCCAAACAAAAAGGTGGTGGACGTTTACCCGTGAACAGATATCCATTTGCCTCTCTTGCCAGCACGGCACCTGAACAAGCACAGTGTTTAGGAGGGACTGAGACATTTTACTGCGGCAAATTTTGGTCTGGTTCCATGCTCTCTATAAGTTCATATTACTAGATGGAATTCTTACCTAGTGCAGTTTCAGACTTTTTCTTTTCTTAAAAATTCAAAATAAGTGAGGTATCCTGCAATTTAACAAATTTTTGATTTACATTTAAGAAAGATACTGGGATTTTTCGGGCAGAGACAATAATTGCGATATTCTGGTACGGTCCATCCGGGAATTAATCCCACAAATCGCCTGTCTCTGAGCCAACTCGACAACCACTCATGTCAGTCAGGTCCAAAAGCAACTAAAGCAAGTTGAATCAACACCGAGAGACCAAAGATTGCTTTCAAAAAGGGAAGCAAAGTCTTTTTTTTTTAAATAACGAAAATTTTTCGTGGCTGTTTCAGCAGTGGACGTAAATCTGATTGGTCATTCTCGTCCTCATGGCCTAAATAAACTTCCCTTTTTGATACTTGGGGTGCATTTGCACGGTTACTCCTGTTAGTATTAACACGAGTGAGGATGCGTGCATTACTCCTGGGTCAGGAGTATACTCCTGCATGACATGGAGTATACTCTCACTGATCCGTAGGGCGTAGTCCTACTGTTCGTGTACTTCGAACACACCCTTAGGGTAAAGGCAAGGGTATTCGACCGCATAAGAAAAGTACGAAATTCAATCGATTGTGTAGTTTCTATATAGGCTACACGTATCATCATGATTGTACGGCTCGTTAATTTTCTCCTCCTGGTCAAAAACAGCAGCAAAGCATAATTTAACAAGGACTAGAATTAAGAATCCTACGCTGTAATTCTAAAGAGGAAAAAATGGAATTTTCGAAGAAGAAATTATGCTTAGCATGCAGAGGGGGGTCCACTTCTGCTGATTAACTCTGAACACTTTCTCGACGCGCGCGGTTATCGTTTCCTTCCTCCAACGCTCCGTGCACTGAGTAAGCGCTATCTTGTATCTTGTAACTTGTTAATCTGGACAAGGATGTTAAAAGCCGACAAAAAAGCAGTCTGGGCACGTCATTCTTTACATAATGTTTGAGTTTGATTAATATTACCTCTTCCTTTCCAGTGCTTTCTATTTCTTTCGCGAAGTCGCTGCGTTTTCTCTTCAGAATTGTCGACATGCTTATCACGCTCTTGTTCCCACATTAAGAAAAAGCACACACGAAAATGAAACACGTTTTTCCAAGAGTAAGTTACCCTCTCGGCCCTATTGCATTCTTGACGAAACAGTGAATGTGTCGTCAGGGTACTTGACGAACCTCCCAACTTTGCTATAGAGGGCGCTATTTCAGATTGTTGGGTTCAAATACTATTACATGTAATACACGATAAATCTTTTTATATATACATGTACATGTAGATATACTATAGTGCTCTTAATTGTAAAAACTTAACCGTTAATATGTAGACATCTTTTCCAATCTACCTCTCTCAGTTAAAGAGTAAAATAATTGACAGTTACTTTAGAATGCGAGGAAAATGAGGATAGCGTTGGGATCAAGGTCAAAGATGTTATACATTTATTATGAGGAGAAAGAAAGGGGTAATTCCTTTGCTGACACTGTTGTGTTATTAACTTTTTTGTACTCAGCAAACGAAGCGGAAAGTCAATTGGTGATGCAGAAGAGGAGTGGGTCTAAAATGACTGTGAAAGATATTAATTGAGAGGGACGTGTCGTTACATCACCTTGTGCTGCTTAGCACTTGGCTATTAAATGGCCATCTATCAATTAATTGGTTTGCAGTAATAGCCTATTTTTCAGATGATCAAAGCTATCTTTCTTGGCTTTCAAATTACTGCTTGCTGCTTCCGCTCTATCGTTTATTTCTTTGCCAAGCAGAGCTTTTACGTTTTAGACATGCGTCATAAAATTTAATGGGTTAAAAGATCAGATGGGAATGCATGGTAGTTTTTCCCCTGTGGCAACATCACCCACTCTCTGTATCTTTTTTTTTAACACAACGCGGAAACTCGACTTGAATAAAGGCTATAATTGTAGCTCACACGGAAATAAAGTCCAACATGTCAACAGGGAAGGCTTCTGAACGACATGCAGACTACTCTCCTCTCAAGACTGGCAATAAAATTAATTTTCCCATAGCAAAGTATGTGGGCCCAGACAGTTGTGAATGGGAAAACTCTTTCCAAAGCCGGGGCACTCATCAGCAGGAAGCTGACAAAACATCTACGGTTAAAAAGGGGTCAATTCCTAGCACATTATTTGGAGGTAAATTCTGTTTTCTCCCGTCCCCTTTAAAGATAGTTATGTTCCTTTTTTTCTGAGGGGACTGAGACACCCCCCCCCCGATGCTATGCTGTCGATGGCTCTTGCTGAATCAGCCTCTCACAACTTGCCACACATCAACTTCCGTCAGTCTACAGACAGGTTCTTTAGCTGATGAAAAAAAAAGGAGAAAATGCAAGTTGCAAGAATAAAAAATTCTCCGCAGTTATTGTTTTTGTCAGGGTCATTTGTACAGCGTGGCGGCAGTTTTACTTGTGACAAGTGTCTAGACTAAAGTTTTCTTGTCTTGCATGAGGAATATGCATTCCATTCTTGGTTGATTTCACTCAGGGGCGTAAATCTGCGTTGCAAATGGGGGGGGGGAGTGTGGGGATGGGGAAAGGTGGGGGATGACTTGCCAGCTACGGAAATTTGAAGGGGGGGGGGCGACACCATGTACACTCTATGGGGGCGATGTTCATGATAAAGATGTACGTCTGTAATGTGTATCAAATGCATGCAGAATCGTACATCAGAATGGTATATGGCTTTCTAAAATCGCTTTCCCTTTTAAATAATATTGCAAGCATTTTAGTTGTTAGTGGAAATCCTGAAAATTCTTTGCAATCGGCAGATTTTTAAAATTAATTTATTAATTAAGTAATTAATTTTTTTGCTCATCACAAAAAAGTGTAGGGAGGGGATACATACCCCCATTCCCAGGGATTTACGCCCATGATTTTCCCGCTCTAAGTCAGAAGGACCCACAATTTTGAGGGTCAAACAGTAAAATCGTTTGATTTTGAGAACCTTTCTGAGGGCGTCATGTACATGTATTTTGTTTTCTTAAACGATGAGCTAACATCGCATTTGAAATTGTTGGTATCTATCGGATCTTTCAAAGTTGAGGGCCTCTCTCAAAATGGAATATTGTAATTATGATTTCAATTCTCAATGATCCCCAGCTAACAACAAACGATACAGACATTCATGAAAATGACATGTAGGTTCAGATTTTCAGTTGTCCTTTCGGGTGCTACAAACACATAGAGGTTACTGTGGAAAACCTCAGTGTGATGGATGGTTGCAAGTTGACAGTAAAATCAGCAATTATTGCACATTTTCGACGATGTGAGCTCAAATTTCTTTGCAGGCATCTAATATTCACCAGAATGCATGCGTCTTTTTGAAACCATTTAGCTGTAGGAAGTGGTATAATGAAAATCCTACACTCCACTGCGCATTGGACTCGGAAGCTGTATCAGAATACAATGGTGAGGAACTACAGGCTTGATTCCAGGCTCCAATTTCCTGATGCCAAGCGTCCACTTCATAAAAGCAGCCATTTACGTCGTGATTTTAAAAATGCCCATTTCGGGGCTTGGATGTGGTGGAGGGAGGCATGTTTAAGGCAAGGGGCTAGCCGTTTAGAATCATTCTCATAAGTTAAGAATTAATTTGCCAGGTGCATTATCCAATCATCGACACATAGCCAAATCTATGCCGTTGATTCATGATACTCAGAAATTATGATTCATGAACTTAATAGGATAGCTGACGTGTGCTTTGAATGAACGTTGGCAGCGAAGGTCGACATCAAACAAAATTTAACACGTCACGGTGACTTGACATAGACATGGTACCAAGTCGGTAGACCGGAGAATGTGTCTACGTAGCTTGTAAAAAATCGTCCAATAACATAATTAACAAAAGGACGCGGGACGCACAAACCCAGAGACAAAATTTAATAAATAAACGATCAAATTCCTGGAGGGTTGTGTTTTAATATGGGACGTGGCCAACTCGCAATGGTGACAGCCAATTTTTGCAGATAATCGACCATTAAAAAACAAAATTCGAGCTCGGCCGGTTATGTTACTGACACTTTAGCTGTACTTGTGGTTGTGAATTTCGAATGAAGTTCAAGGACAAAACACAGCTATCTAGCGACTTGTCACTAAGTCTATGACGAACGTGGGCCTACAGCGGTTGTGCTAACGACACGGTTTCTATGTGTACATTAATTTTATGCCTCTGTTGATATCGCTGCTTCGTGACATTGTCATGTAGAGCAATTTTCTCAACATTATTGCTGCCTTGGTGGTCCAGGCTGAATAGAAATTGGGATTCATGGTTCAGTAGTTTTTAATGCAGCCCCCCCCCGGACGTTCGATTTGATTTCATAATCGGTTGATACTCTTCAGTCTGCTATTGATCAAAATCATTTCTTATAGCTTAATAAAACTTGACGATTAAAGTCGTGGAGGTAACGGCAGAAGGAAGGGCGCTTTTCCCGGAAAAAATGGCCAAAAATGTATTAGAAAAAGATCAAAGGGGATCAAAATCACTAATTTGCTTGGTAAACTTTTGAAATTGTCCATTTTCACTATTCATATGAGTGTCTTTCCGCCACAGTCAAGCAGGCGACTGTGGGTTCGATTTTCACTCGAACACTGATCGAATCAAGACTGGCAAAAAAGCATATTCACTTGTCCCAATCAGCGTACACTTGCATTGCGCAAGCGTAAGTTTCAACCCATGGCATTTTTCAAGCAAACTCTGTGCAATGAGTGCTCGACAAAAATTACGTCGTGTATTTGCCCTAGTCCAGGCAAGCACGGGGGGGAGCGCACCAAGCAGGAAGACCAACGTCCAAATTTTATAAAAAACGCCCTCTGTTGGTGGGTCCAGGCTCTGTGGTTGGTCCAGCCATCGTGGCAACTCTGTCTTAGCCTCATGTGCTCTTCCCAAATTATCCACAGCTTTCATTGTTTTATCCTTTGTTCTTTCCTTTTACAGCGTTTTATAACTGTTAAAAGAGCTTTATGAATGCTATGCTTTTTATTCATTTATTTTTGGCAACAACCTTTTATCCCGTACCGGCAACTTTCGAGGCATTGCGCAACAATGATGGCTTTTTTTTGCAGTCGGATGCGTGCATTTTGCATGACATCAAAAAACCTTTCACTTTGTTGTACACTCGGCTCTCTCCGAACGCGAATAATCTGATGTTAAGGTGCCGATGAGCCTGAGTGGGTCACTGAAAAAGCAAAGGTCGTGCAATGTGATTTTCTCATTTAATGCACGAGTGAAGATAATTACAACATTGACCAATAAACCTGAAAGGCAGTTGGATCGGCTGGAAAACACTGACTGTCTTCCGGTTTACAGAAAATCGACCGCCATTTTTTTTCCTCTGAAATTTGGTTTTGGAACTTGGCGGTCAGTCATAACGCTTTTCGAATGATACAGCCCCAACATGACCCTAAAACATACACATTGACGGTGGGCGGTCGGTGTTAATTTTCATTGCTGGATTTGTTTTCTTGTTCAAATGATATCTGCAACTTTAGAAGTCAAAACATAGCATAGCCTAGATATTGACGGGAACATGACACGTCGGTCAAGTTGAGTGGTGTATATAGGATTGCTTGACGGTTCGGCTTTAGCGAGAAATTACTGGCCAGGTGCCAAACGACATACTGTGACGTCACAGTATGGCTGCTGTAATTCTTACAATCATAATATTTGGGGGTTATAGGACAAATATCTGAAGTATATTTGGCAGGGACTGACTCCACGGCCAGCTATGTGAGCAGGCTGATCGGATCGGCTTGATGGGTTTAATGCCATTGAGCAAGGATATACACACTTGTAAGGTGCATAGTACACGCAGCTTCAAGTTGCGTATAATTAAAGTGTCGATTAACCAATTGACATCAGTCTTTGTAACATAAACCAGGGAAGAAAAGGAGCACGTGCGTGAACTGCACCATGTCACCCAACCCGGATTTACTGTTTCCTTGTGGGTTGTGGGTTTTTACGTGGCTTACGTGTGTGATGGCTGACACGAACAGTGCAGGACACAACACGCAGGTATTTCCAGCAATAAAGTAGTTAGCAGCTACATGAATGTGACAATAAAAAGCGACGTTGAGTTTTGACAAGCAATAAATAAAGGCAAAGCCGATTATCAAAAATGTTTCGA